CTGCAATTACGGATGACCCAAATGGGATTTTGAGGAATTGGGTCGGGTCTATTGTGTGTTCTTACGAAGGCGTGTTTTGTGGGAGGGACGAAGAAGGTGGAAGCGTGGTTTCAGGTATAGATCTGAACCGTGCAGATCTTGAAGGGAGTCTTGTCGGGGAACTTGGTCTCCTCACTGATATTTCTCTTCTTCACTTGAACAGCAATAGATTTTCAGGAACAATTCCTGAGACTTTTAGAGACCTCTCCTCTCTTCAAGAGTTGGACCTTAGTAACAATCAATTCTCCGGTTCTTTCCCCATGATCATTCTCTACATTCCCAATCTTGTTTATTTAGATATCAGGTTCAACTGCTTCTCTGGAGCTATCCCTCAAGATCTCTTCAACAAGAAACTTGATGCTATTTTCCTCAACGACAACCAATTCGACGGCCAACTCCCAGAAAATCTTGGGAATTCCCCAGCTTCTGTCATAAATTTAGCTAATAACAAGTTTACGGGAAGTATTCCTTTTAGTTTTGGGTTCATGCGTTCAAGGCTTAAGGAGATTTTGTTTCTGAATAACCAGTTGACGGGATGTATACCGGAGGGAGTTGGGATTTTTACAGAGATGCAGGTGTTTGATGTGAGCCACAACGATCTGGGAGGTCATTTGCCAGACACCATATCTTGTCTGACTGATATAGAGGTTCTCAATTTGGCACACAACAGGCTGTCGGGAGAGCTGCCAGCGCCACTATGTACATTGAAAAGCCTTGTGAATCTCACAGTTGCTTATAATTTCTTCTCTGGTTTTAGCCAACAATGTTTCCAGTCCTCCTTCAAGAACATAGGTTTTGATTTCTCTCTCAATTGCATTCCTGGAAGAAATATGCAGAGACCTCGACCAGAGTGCTCTATAATTCCTGGAGGAAGCCTCAGTTGTCTCAGAATGCCATCACAGCCTCTTCTTTGTGGCACAATGTTAGCAAAGTCTGCAAAGCCACCGTCTCCATAAACCATATGGACGGAGACACAGATTTTCCTTTTGGTTTTTTGGACTGTAATTGTAAACAGGTTAGTGGGGAGTATCCCATTAATTTAACTTAATTAATTAGAATTTGTGATGGATTCAGGACGATCGCCTTGAATGGATAAAGGGATTTGTGATCGATTGTCTAGTAGATATAATAATAAACTATTCAGGTTCACAGGTTAAGCTACTTTAATTATCATATCCTGATGCCTGACTCCTACTCACTCCTGGCCAATCTTGGATTGTCGTTGTAAATAAACAACTGCGGATACCAGTAAACTAAATATGAAAATATATACATGTACATCACATGATTATTTACACCTCTTGATTTCTGTCCCCCAATAAGCTAAGCTTTGTTTACAAGTTACTCAATCTCAAAATTATAGACATTAATCAAAAGAACAAATTTGTTTGTCTTGGTGCTGCTCTGTGTGGATGATCTATGAGTATCTGTCATAAGAAGAAGCAGCAGCAGCAGCACTTGGATGAATGAATGTCACCCTAACGTGGTATTTTTCTGCTGTCCAACTCAACCGGTTACATCATATGAGATAGACCTTGCCTTCACCAAAACACCCAGTAAAGAGACAAACATAACTATTACCGGGTAAAAAAATGATTACTCTCTTTTAATTGTTGTCTAGTAACCACATACAACAAGTATTTATATATACATCACCATAGCTGATGATAATGGCAAAGTCATTAAAAACTATTATCAACTAAGTAACAGAAAAAACAACTAATTATAACTAATTTACACCTCAAGATGGAGCAAATATATTTTTAACAGATCATCTTGGATATTAGAGGAAACATATCATGAGATAATAAAACTTTAGTGAAAATATTTACAAATTGGCGTTGAAATCGAATAGAATGAAACTTGATGAATCTTGTGAAAATCTTATCTAAAATAAAATGATAATCAATTTTAATATGTTTAACGCATTTGTGACATAATAAGTTGGAAGTTGTGTAAATAAAAGCTTGACTGTAAGAAAAGACTAGTGCAAGCTGGAAAATATCAACACAAAAATTATGAAGCAATTGTTTAATGCAGAGCAATTCACTAGTAGTTGAAACCAAAGAATGATATTCAGTTTCTATGGAAGATCTAAAAACTGGGGACTACTTTGTGGTTTTTTATAAGATAATAAAATATTCAAGAAATATACAATACCTAAAAACAAATTTTCCAGAGAGAGGGTAAGATGCCCAATCAGCATAAAAAAAAAAAAAAAAAAAAAAAAAAAAAAAAAAAATCCTTCAGTTACAGGAAACTTGATAAAGAAAAGAGAATTGTCTTGTCCAAGCATTGCCTCGAGGCAACCAAGCAATCTGTTTTGTTTCTTTGCTTTGAGGCAACCAAGCAATGGGTAGAAGCAATCTATGAATTGAGAATATTCCGATCAGAATCATTAGATTTTGTTAATAGATCTATTTATAAATTTTATCTTGTTTTTTTTTTATCGAAAAGTGCAACTGTCTATCATTTTATTTCAAAAGAGATAATAAATTACTAAAACATTAGTAGTAAGTCGTAATTATATGAATGATGTAAAGAATAAAAGATTAATTGGATCACTAATGGTGTATTTTTTATTTTGAAGTTAAAAAAATGAGATTTTCCATGGAGTTAGAAAAGAAGATTCAAGAAAACAACGACCAGATTTCTTTAAGGAGAGTTATCATCAGGAGGGAAAAGAAAAAGACGATGATGGGAACTTATTAGGAAGGAAAATATCAGAAGAAGAAAGAGGATGAGTGGTTACTGAGAAGAAAAATCAGAAGAGAGTGACTGGAAAATTATTGGGAATCAAAAATTAAAGTTGTAATACTATATTACTGAGTAAAAAAATGATTACTTTCCCCAACTGCTTATTAATCAAATATAACAAGCATTTATAAATACATCACCAAAATTAATGATAAAGATAATCTAATTAACAACTAGTTTAATAATTTACACCTCTAACAATAATTTCCATTCATCAGAATAATAAGACAGAGTTGCTCAACAAAAAAATGAAGATAATGAATTACATCATGCCACACTTGATCCAGATGTTCTTCAGTTAGCTTTCATAATACATAGTACATTGGATTGGGCAACTTAAACGACCGTGAGGCGACTGCATATCCCAACAAGTCGCTCCACTGATCTCCAGAGTTCCCATGAATCCTATAACTTTCATTGATCAAATCTAATCTCCTTTCGGATTTGAACACGGTGGCTTCTTTGCCTTCATCAGTCAGTCCCCTATATCATTTCAACGTAAGTTAAATGGTTCTCATCAAAAACACATGGTAGTAGTTTTACTTTATTCTATAATGGCAATAAATGACTGATTCCTACATGATGGCCTACTTTTTTATCCCTCCATTCAATAACTGGAAAAGAGATATCAATCACCATTACTCCTATTAACTAGTCCACATACCTCAAGATTAACCTTTCCCAATCATTGAAGCCAGCATACACAAGATTCTTAGCTGTTGCATTCCTATGGTATTCAGTTCGCCCAGTTAGCAAAATTATCTTAAACCCCATCTGCTTGAGCTCCTTGTACAGCTCCAAACTATGTTGCAAAGCAGGGGCCTCTGCTAAATCTACCCACTCATAAAAGGATGTCTCATTGAAAGTTTCTGATCTGTCAAAACATTATATACTTGGAATCAAATTCAATAAACATGGGAATGCAAAGTCAAATCACCATAAATCGGAAAAGGCTGGAGCTTCCTATCAGTTTGGAGTAGATCTTTACGTGATTCACCCAATTGATGATTTTCACGGAAAAGCATTTGGAAGCCAACTATGAGGATAACAAGTTGTGCAGACAGCTTTTATGCTGAAGGAACTCAGCATCGTTTTGGGTGGAGCAGTGACATTTATAAATAGTAAACCCAGGCTGTTTTATGGTATTATAAACAAAAGCAATAACAGTAACTCATTTCATATTTTTGAAAAAAAATATATATATATATATATGACTTAATCAAGAAAATATTTTCATTAAGGACAATTAGTTAACTGTTTAAGCAGATATTATACCTTACAAGAATCTATTTTCATCAACCATTATATCTTACGAAAGCTTGATTGTGTTATTTTCTTATTAGAATATTTGATTATATTGTTCTTCATGTGTAATAATAACTTAATTAACAAAATGTAAAAAAATAAAAATTTATTCTGAGTTTTGGAATTACCTCCATGCTCAAACTGTTTTTTTTTTTCCCTTCTACAGTAAAAGTATCAGAAATTTGACAGACAGACTTCTGTTGTTTTTATTTTAAAAAACATATTAAAAATCAAATGTTAAAATGAATTAGTAATTTTAGAAACTAAGTTTGATCTTCTAAAAATTAAAAGCCAATTTCCCAATATTTCATAATTGGAATACTAAATTGATAGTTTGTACTGAAAAACAAACAAGATAACGATGGAGTTATATGACAAGATTCTTTCAAAGTGTATATTATGAGATATGCAAAGTGTCATATTTCAATTAGACAATTGATCCTTCAAACGGGGATTTTCTAGTCACATGCCTCCCGCAATATTGAAGTCACAAGATTACTAATTATTATGGATTCATAAGGGTGCTAATTATTGAATGAATCAAACGGCTACGTGTACTGCTAACTTACCCGAATCCATGGAGCTCATAGTAGGGTAAATTGGAGAGGAGAGTCTCGTCAATGTCGAAGATCCAAGCGTCCTTCCCGTCGGTGCCGATCTCGACGGACCTGGCGAAATCTAGCGAAAATTCCGAAACAACGTGGAAGTCAGAAAGGTAACGGGCGCCGGTCATGTAATCCTGCACGAACTGAATGCATCGGGAGGGAATATTGGTCCAGTAGCCGGCGTTATTGGTCTCGGCGGAGAGCCTCCAGCTATCGCAGCACAAGGAATCATCCGAAGAGGTTGGCATTTGGATGATTGATTTGGCGGAAGCAAGAGAGATAAGGAAGAGTAACAGAGGGATAATGGAGAGGAGGGAATGGAGATGGGAGTCCATGTTTTCGAAACGACGACGTTCCAACCTCCTCCTCTCTCTGTCTCTCTCCAGGAGATGAGATGTGAGAAGAGATGGGAAACGAGAGAAACTTTGCAGGTGTTGACAAATTTATAGAAAGGGAATATGAATTTCCCTATCTTGACCTTAAGACCACAAAACGATGCCGTTGTGTTATTACAAATAACAAAGTCAAATGAAATTGTGAATGGTGGACTAGTGGCAATTGGGAATTAGGGATGTTTACTATCTACTTCTTCCATTCTTTTTGCCTTTGGTTTGATGTAATATGTTTTTATTTAATTCTTGAATTTAGTTAAATTATAATGTTGCTTCTATTAAAATTTTTATCTCATTTATACTACATTTTTATTCTTGTTTTATATAATTAAATTTTAAATTAGTATTTTCATGCTAAACATAACTCTATTCTTTTCCATTAGTTTCTCAAACTAAATAGTTTGAGAGAATCCAATTTTTTTACAATATAATTTTTTCTAGGTTTAATTCATAAAGAAAGGGAGTTTATATATCATGTTTGAGTAATGTGAATCTTATATTCATAGCTATAGAGCATGAATTAGTAAATTTACTCACAACTTATTTCTTATATTCATATTTAATTAGCATGCTATGAGATCATATATTTTTTAAATTCTATATATTAATATATTTCAACCATTTTTAGTAAAATAACTTCAAATTTTTTTTGTCAATATTATTATAAGTATACAAATTTCAGTCCAAATTAAACAAGAGAATTTATTTTAGATCAGACTGAATCATGTTATTTTCAGTTTAAGGGTAAAGAATATAGAAAAAATTGATCTAAATAAGTATAGTTCTGATCAGGTTACCAGTAAAAAATAAAAACCATAAAAACTAAAAAATTCATGACTTTCCTCTTACTCATTGTCGTTCACATAGGTTGTTTGTCACTCTTCAGTCTCTTCTTACTCTCTCCATGTTTCAAATCACAAGTATCTCAATCCTCTCTCTCAACTCTCGCTTAATTGCCCTTTCTTTATGGGCGTCACCACGACTCCTTGAGTCCTTATCATTCATTGATCTTCTCAGCGGTTTTCCTTCCTCTCTTCAAACCCCACACACCCAAGTTAGATGATGGCCTTATGCAACCATGCTCATGGTAGTTCTCTCACTCCAATGCTTGTAGCCTCAAGCTCTCTGTGGCCCTCTATCCCTCTTTAATTCTCATGCAACACTCTAACTCTCACGCTCACAACTTTATACAATACGCACCCTTTATCATGTTTACATGTCTTCTCTGTTATTTATTTCTCTTTTACATTGTTTTAAACCAATTAATATTTAGTTTCAAATTTTTAGTTAAATTCAATGAATTTGAGTAATATAAAGTGTTAAAAAAATATATGACAAAAAACAAAAACAATTAAGGAGATTGGCCCATATTTTACTATTTTTGTTGTTCTCTTTGATGATTATTAGGGCATGACAATAAAACTTGTGAGCTTATTATAATTAACATATCTACCTTAAATTTTTTATAGGATATATATATGCTTAATTTCAATATGAGAGCATATTCTTCATTATTTGACTAGCATAGGACATCCGACACTTTTTTTTTTTTTTTAGATTTTTGTTTCGTAATTATTAAATCTGGGATTGAATTTTCTGGTTGGACGTAATGTAATACCCTAAATTTAATTTTAATGTAATTTAAGAATTTTTTATAAATATAATTTCTTAATTTTTTAATTTTTAATTTCAATTCAAAAACCAGATGTCAAAATGCAATTTAGAAAAAAATTATCACGTAGAATACCCGGTCAGCAACCCCAACGAACCAGGACGCGCCATGTGGTAACGGGCGCTGATGCGGTCCACGCAGGGAGCCATGTGGGAGATTTGTGTGCCTGCGATAAAATGTCTCAAGTCTGTCCCGCGTGCACAGATGGCCTGATGCGCTTCCTCCCAAAGGCGATCGAACGACCAGATTCAAATACGATCAGACAGTCCAGATTAGATCGCTATGGACGGCCTAGATTAGATTGTAATGAACGGTACA